GAACCAACTTTTGGTTTCATTGACTTTTCTCTATCACTTTTGTTTTAATTTTGGTGATTTTTACTCTTTATGCTTTCCTTCCTTCTACTTGTTTTAGGTTTATTTTGCAATTCTTTTTTGTGTTATCTTAAGGTAGAAGTACAGGTTGTTTACTTGAGAACTTTTTCTTCTAATGTGAGCGTATAGCTACCCTCTGAACTGCTTTAGCTGCATCTTACTGTCTTGCCATCGTATTTTAATTGTCACTAAGAATATGCTCATAAAAGTGGACTTTTAAAAAATTAATGTTTTTTATTGAAAAATCATAACTGTATGCATTTATGGGAAACATTGTGATGTTTTGATGTATGTATATGGTGTGATATGTTTAAATCAAGCTGATTTTTGAAAATCAAGCCAATTAACATATCCACAGCTTCTCTTACCTGTCACTTCTGATGGCGAAACATTTCAAATTTCTTCTCTTAGAGATTTTCAAGACCAAGCCCAGTGGCTCACTTCTGTAATTCCAGCACTTTGGGATGCTAAGGCAGGTAGATCACTTGAGGCCAGAAGTTCAAAACCAGTCTAGCCAACATGGTGAAACACCACCTCTACTAACAATAGAAAAATTAGCCAGGCACAGTGGCATTCAATTGTAATTCCAACTCCTCAGGAAGCTGAGGCACGAGAATCCTTTGAACCTGGGAGGTAGAAGTTGCAGTGATTCAAGATAGAGCCACTGCATTCTAGCCTGTGTAACAGAGTGAGACTCTGTCCCAAAAAAAAGAAAGAGATTTTGAGATATACAATACATTGTTATTGACTGTAGTCACCCTGTTGGAATATCTGATGGGAGTATCAGCTCCATCAGATATCAAGACATCTTGAGATCTATTGTATTCAATAATGTTGAGATCAACAATAGATCTTAACATTATCTACGATAGAGGTCAACATTATTCCTCCTATCTGAAACTTTGTATCCTTTGATCAACAACTCCCCATTACTTCCCTCCCCACTCCCTAATCCCACCAGCCTCTGGTAACTATCATTCTAACTCTCTACTTCTATGGGTTCAACTATTCTATATTCCACATATAATTGAGATCATGTAGTGTTTGTCCTTCTGTGCCTGGCTTATTTCAGTTAGCATAGTGTCCTCCAGATCCTTTGATAATATTTTTGCTTTTCACATTTATATCTATAATCTACCTGAAATTAATTTTTGTGTCTGATACACAGTAGGAGTCAGCTTTCTTTTTTCTCACATGGATGTATATGAAATGTGACATGCTGATTCTAAAATGTGTACAGAAATATAAAGGGCCAAGAATAGCCAAGGAACTGTTGAAGATGATGGACAAGACGGGTACTAGCTCCATCAGATATCAAGACATTATAATGCTATATTAATCCAGACAATATTGTAAGACCAACAAGATATATAATGGGACCAGTGAAATAAAACAGAGTTCATAAACAGATCTGCAAAGTGCAGAAAAGTATGTACATGGAGATTCAATTTTTCTAGAATACATATGTATGTTTATATGTTTTTAGTAAAGAAAACTTGGAAAGACACACACCCCACTGTTAACAATAATTAATTATCATAGGACAGTGGGGTTGGTGGGATTTGAGGTAATTTTTTATTTTGTACTACTTATTTATTTAGAGACAGGGTCTTGGCTTGGTGCAATGGCTCACACCTGTAATCCCAGCAATTTGGGAGGCCAAGATGGATCACCTGAGGTCAGGAGTTAGAGACCAGCCTGGCCAATATGGCAAAGCCCTGTGTCTACTAAAAGTACAAAAATCAGGCTGGGTAAGGTGGTTCACACCTGTAATCCCAGCACTTTGGGAGGCCGAGGCAGGCGGATCACATGTTCAACAGATTGAGACCAGCCTGACCAACCTGGTGAAACCCCATCTCTACTAAAAATACAAAAATTAGCTAGGTGTGGTGGCATGTGCCTGTAGTCTCAGCTACTCGGGAGGCTGAGGCAGAAGAATCACCTGAGCCCAGGAGGTGGAGGTTACAGTGAGCCAAGATCATGCCACTGCACTCCAGCCTGGGTGACAGAGTGACTCTGTCTCAAAAAAAGAAAAATGGTATTTTATATATTTAAGCTGATTGGGAAGGACATATGCACAAGAAAAGCCAATAGCATATAGGAATTTTATTAATGTTAAAAATTGCACTTTGGGGCCGGGCGCGGTGGCTCATGCCTGTAATCCCAGCACTTTGGCAGGCCGAGGCGGGTGGATCACAAGGTCAAGAGATCGAGACCATCCTGGTCAACATGGTGAAACCCCGTCTCTACTAAAAATACAAAAAATTAGCTGGGCATGGTGGCACGTGCCTGTAATCCCAGCCACTCAGGAGGCTGAGGCAGGAGAATTGCCTGAACCCAGGAGGCGGAGGCTGCGGTGAGCCGAGATCGCACCATTGCACTCCAGCCTGGGTAACGAGAGCGAAACTCCATCTCAAAAAAAAAAAAAAAAAAAAATTGCACTTTGAAATCAATAAAAAATAGATTATTCAATAGTGTTAGAACAGTTTGCTGTCCATTTGGAGTAATATTACATTACTTTATACTCCAAATACACTCCAGGTTGATTAAATATTTAAACATAAACAACAAAAACTTAAGGATTAGAGGAAAATATGGGAGAAAAGCTTTTCCTTTTTTTTTAGAAGTCAAGTTTCACTCTTGCCCTGGAACTTCAGGCAGATGCCACCATACCAGGCTAATTTTTGTATTTTAGTAGAGGTGGGGGTCTTGCTAAGTTTCCCAGGCTGGTCTCAAACTTCTGGGCTCATGTGATCCTCCTGTAGATTCCCCAGAAAAGAGCAGCAAACAGGCATGGCCTCTGTCCAAAGGGAGGGTGCCTTCGGAGGCTGCTGGAGCAGCATGTTACCTGATAGTCGGTGCTGGTGGGTAGTAGAGAACAGGGTAACCACCTGCCAGGGGACAGTCAGGATTCTTGTGGCCACACCCCCAGCACAGACTTTCAAAAAGCCTTTGGGCCCCTCCCCTAATTTTTTTTTTTTTTTTTTAGAAGAAACAAGGTCTTGCTCTGTTGCTCAGGCAAAAAAAAAAAAAAAATCCAGTGTCTAACAACCATATGAAATATGCCTAATTTTACCTAAAGATTTATAGACAGGTAATATCTAGTATTATCAACAGAATGGGAAATAGGCATCCTCAGAGGCTATTGGTAAGATCAAACTTTTTGGAGGACAATTTGGCACTATTTATTAAATTTTAAAAGTGCATGCCTTTGGCCCAGTAATCTTCTAAAAATTAGAAATTTATCTTGCAGAAGTTATATATGTACATGTGTATATATGTGTGCATATATAATATATAAATGTTTATTTTAGTATTGCTTTATAAAATTAAAAATAAATAACAAACACATAAAAAAGAGATTGGTTAACAAATTATGGTACATACCTACAATATAAAATGATGTCGGCATCAAAAGGAATTATTTTGGGCTGGGCGCGGTGGCTCACACCTGTAATCCAAGCATTTTGGGAGGCTGATGGGGGCAGATCACGAGGTCAAAAGATCGAGGCCATCCTGGCCAACATGGTGAAACCCTGTCTCTACTGAAAATACAAAAATTAGCTGGGTGTGGTGATGGTGCACCTGTAGTCCCAGCTACTCAGGAGGCTGAGGCAGGAGAATCACTTGAACCTGAGAAGCAAAGGTTGCATTGAGCTGAGATCACGCCACTGCGCTTCAGTCTGGCGCGTAGTGAGACTCCATCTCAAAACAGACAAACAAACAAAACCAAAGAATTATTTTGACCTGCATATCCTGATATGGTCAATGTCCATTATATACGATTAAATGTAACAAGTAAATTGGAGAAGATAATTTATAGTACCATTCCATTTTTATTTTAGAAGGTAGTATCTAGAAAATACAAAAGGTTTATACACAAAACTGTAGTAGTAGTTTTGGGGAGTGGAGAGGTGCCTATACTTTCTAATTCCTACATGTTGCTCTTTTCCAGTGAACATGTATTTATTGTATAATTTTTTTTTTTTTTTGAGATGGAGTCTCAATCTATCATCAGGCTGGAGTGCAGTGGTGCGATCTCGGCTCACTGCAACCTCCGCCTCCCAGCTTGAAGCGATTCTCCAGCCTCAGCCTCGCGAGCAGCTGAGATTACAGGTGTGCACCACCATGCCCAGCTAATTTTTGTATTTTCAGTAGAGACAGGCTTTCACTATGTTGGCCAGGATGGTCTCAATCTCTTGACCTCATGATCCGCCTGCCTCGGCCTCCCAAAATGCTGGGATTACAGGTGTGAGCCACCACGCCCCGGCTCTTATTGTATAATTTTAAAATACATGTATTCTGAGGCAGGTGCAGTGGCTCACACCTGTAATCCCAGCACTTTGGGAAGCCAAGGCGGCTGGATAACCTGAGGTCAGGAGTTCAAGACCAGCCTGGCCAAAATGGCAAAACCCCATCTCCGCTAAAAATATAAAAATTAGCTGGGTGTGGTGGTGGGCATCTATAATCCCAGCTACTCAGGAGACTGAGGCAGAAGAATCACTTGGACCAGGGAGGCAGAGGTTGCAGTGAGCCAAATTGGCGCCACTGTACTCCAGCCTGCATGACAGAGTAAGACTCCTTCTCAGAAAAAAAAAAAAAAAGAGTATAGAGACTCCTCAGTGTTTTTTACATGAGTGTTCAGTTGAAGTTACAGGGATATTAATGATTGATAGAAGAACCAAACATGTAAATATTGTGTATTTCAAACAGTTGTGATATGGATAGGAAGAACCCTTTTATTTACTTCATTTTTGAGATAACAAAGAAAAAATGAATATATTTTTATATACAACACGAAAGAAGTCTTTTATTACATTATTTTTACATAACATTGGTTATAGCAAGGGAAACAAAATATTACTCATGTTTAGCATTTGCTAGGATGTGGTTATAATGTTAATGACAATAATGCTTCCTTTAAATAATATTTGTTGTAAGAGGAATTCACCTACTGTATGTAAAGGTGAGGAATTGCCTTGTAGCCTGAAGATCACCCAGATTTTAATAATGTCTATTTATCCTATTTTAGGAAGCGGGTATGTGATCCAAAAGAACATCTATGCGTGGGAGTCGCTAGGTATGGGGAAGTACCTCATGGCTCTGGCTATATCAGGACCTGTGTACATCATCCTGCTTTTCTTTGTTGAAACCAATATGTTCCAGAAACTGAAAACCAGGGTGTGTGACTTCTGCATGAGGCAAAATTTGGTGAGTAGGTCAATGTGTAAATCCTCTGGGGCAGGCCCAGGGCCTGGCTCCATAGCTTCCTTCCTGTGGTCTGTAGCTGCCTTGATTCTCAGCATCAGAGGGAGCCTGCGGATCATCTGGTCCCATCTCAGAGCAGAGAGGTGACAGCTCGTGCCCAGGGACTCCCAGAGAGGGAAGAAGGCTTGGGCTTAGTCCCTAGGCCCTTTTCATGATGCTGGCCACCTGTGGGGCTTTAAGGCCTGCTCATCAATGAATAGAAACAATACCCTGAGATTAGGCCAAGTGGGGTGGCTCATGCCTGTAATCCCAGCACTTTGGGAGGCTAAGGCGGGTGGATCGCCCAAGGTTGGGAGTTTGAGACCAGGCTGGACAACATGGTGAAACCCTGTCTCTACTAAAAAATACAAAAATTAGGGTGTGGTGGTAGGCATCTGTAATCCCAGCTACTCAGGAGGCTGAGGCACGAGAATCGCTGGACCTGGGAGAGGGAGGTTGCAATGAGCCCAGATCATGCCATTGCACTCCAGCCTGGGCAACAGAGCAGGACTTATCTGAGAGTCCTAAAACCAGTCACCTTCTAGAACACCTCTTACCCCACAGACATCCATGAGCCAGACGGGAGAAAGTTCTGCCCAGTCAGATCTTGGTCTGAGTACTTTCCAGAAGCCAAGACCACCCAAGGAAACTGTAGAAAATATGCTTTTATTATATCTTGACATCCCCAGGTTATAATTCTTCTAGCTTTCCTCAAAAGTTGATGCCATGTTGTTGCATGTCCACCATATCATGGTCACGGCAATCTGAGTTCAGTCTTTGATACCTGTAGTTGCTTCTGAGATAGGGGTGCACATTTTTATGAGAACCAGTGTCAGCTGGGCACCTTCAGGGCCTTCAAGAGAGGATCCAGTTTTTGCTGGTCCCTTCAATCTCTACCTTCTACCATTGCAAAAGCAGTTACATTTTCCCTCCTTGTCTTGGAATGTAGGCAGTGTTGCACAAAGTAGCATTAGTGCCTGAAGACCAAGATGTGGAAGAAGAGGCAAAAAATATCCGGACTTATTTGGAAAATTTGTGTCAGAAAAATCCACTAGTTGTTAAAGAAATATCAAAGGTAAAGTCAGACTTGGCTTTAAAAAGTCATGAACATTCTTCTTTTGGGCCCTTTGCATAAGGAATCAGTAAAATGAAGGACTCTCAGCCCTGCCCGCAGGTGTGGTGTATTGGCACGTGCCTCAGAGTGAATCACATGAGTTCATTTGTGTGCCCTGAGACAGAAATTTGGATCTCAGCCCTCCATTGTCTCTTCTGTGGTCCCCTGGAAGACAAGAGGGCCTGGGATGGGAGGGACACCAGAGCCATGAATCTCAAGAAGCAAGGATGTGGGCCAGGTGCGGTGACTCATACCTGTAATCCCAGCACTTTGGGAGGCTGAGGCAGGTGGATCACTTGAGGCCAGGAGTTTGAGACCAGCCTGGCCAACATGGTGAAACCCCAGCTCTACTAAAAATTAATCTCTACTAATTAAGGAAAATTAGTAAGGTGTGGTGGTGGGTGCCTGTAATCCCAGCTGCTCAGGAGGCTGAGACAAGAGATTTGCTTGAACCTGGGAGGCGGAGGTTGTAGTGAGCCAAGATCGTGCCATTTTGCACTCCAGCCTGGGTGACGAGAAACTCCATCTTAAAAAAAAAAAAAAAAAAAAATCCGTGAACTTTGTACCATTTCCCCCCAAGTTTGTTATTCTTATTGTTTCCCTGTGGTTACTGGAAGTTAACAAAATCAAGGCCAGGCATGGTGGCTCGCATCTGTAATCCCAGCATTTTGGGAGTTGAGGAGGGCAGACTGGCTGAGCTCAGGAGTCTGAGACTAGCCTAGGCAACACAGTGAAACCCTGTCTCTACTAAAATTTTAAAAAATTAGCCGGGTGTGGTGGTGGGCGCCTGTAGTCCCAGCTGCTCGGGAGGTTAAGACAGAATTGCTTGAACCCAGGAAGCGGAGGTTTCAGTGAGCCGAGATCATACCACTGCACTCCAGCCTGGGTGACAGAGCGAGACTCTCTCTCAAAAAAAAAATCAGAAACAAACCCTCAGGCAACATCAAAAATATTTTGTTAGCTTTAGGGACAGAAGGGAAAGGGCCTATCTTAGGGAACTAAGTTCTCAATTTGCAAAGACAGTTGGAGAAGAGAAAGACCTTAATAAACCTGCTGGGAGTAACAGCTGAGAAAAGGCAAGTCCGAGCCTGGGTACAGGAGAGGCCACGTGAGCCCAGAGAGCAGCTGGGACCTACCCCCGAGCAGGTGTGCAGCAAGCACAGTGTAACTGCTGGACTGCTGATTTCGTTGCAACCTCCTGACTGCATCTCCTGTCTTGTGTGTCTCAGATCTACGTCCAGAAGGTACCCCTGCTGGCTGTGAACAAAGTGTCCTTCACTGTGCCACCACAAGAATGCTTTGGCCTGCTTGGCATCAATGGGGCTGGGAAGTCTTCCATTTTCAAAATGCTGACTGGGCAGAAGCCCATAACCTCTGGGGACGGCTTTGTCAAGGGCCTCAGCATCGGCTCTGACATAGGGAAGGTGAGTGTGTCTCTGGAAACAAACCTGGGCTATGACACAGTATTTGGGGACAGGAACTGGAACAGGACTTGCTCTCTGAAAATTCCATGTATGTCTTTTGTCTGTGATCCCTAAATCCATAGCTCCGTCCTAGATTGCTTCTCTGAGCTCCGGATCATGTGTCCAGATGTTTACTTAACATCATCTCGTGAATGGCCCACAGGCATCTGAAACTCAGCAGGGCCAAATCTCCCCACACCCCACCGCCCCGCCAACCTGCTCTTTCCTCCTCCCTCATGCTTCCTTGGGGAATGTGTGGCACACATCCTCCTGCTGTTCAAGGCACCTCTCCAGACATCCAGTCAAGCACAGTCCGTGGATGCTCCCTCCCAGCAGCCCTTGAATCTGCTGTCTCTGGACCTGGTCCTCCCGCACTCCCCCAGTTGAGGAGGCTTCTGTTCAGTCTGTGTTTTCCTTAACTTGTCTGCAGCGTTCATAATGCTGACCCTTTCCACCTTCTGACTAGGCTTCCTCTGTTAACTGCTGTAGCTTTCCCCTCTCCTGGCTCTTCTCAACCACTGACACATCCTTCTCAGAAGAGGGTCTTTTCCATCTGGCCCTTACATTTCACAGGGGCTATGTCGTCAGCCGCTGTCTTTCTCACTCCACGTGCACTGTACCCGCCTATTGTCTTCTTGGCTGCTGTGGCTCCTGTTACCACGTCTGTGGATGCCTCCCCAGTAGCCGCACCCCAGCCCACTCCAGCCCTGCGCTTCAGTCCTGCATGCTGATACCTTCTCATCAGCGTTCCTTGGACCTCTCGCAGATGTTTCAAACTTGAACTTAATATCTACACCTAAGCCTGACCCACTTCTTGGAGTCTCTATCTCAGTGTTGGCACTGGTTCAATGAGACACTTCTTGAAGGCCTTGTGTGTCCAACCATTGTGCTAGACCCAGTGGTTCTCACTTGCATGAGCACATGAACAAGCCATTGCCATGAGGTAAGTGCATAGCTGATGTCGGGGTGCTACAGAGGGGATACGGTCAAAGGCCTCTAGAGAGACTGCACTGCGGAGGCACAGTAAGAGTCCTACTCTTCACAGCGGACGCACGCGTGAGTCACTCTATTGCCAAGAAGTTTATCAAGCTGGCCTCTGTCCGTGCCCTAATCCTGTAGAGAGAAAGAAAAAGAGCCCACCCAGTCTAGTTCCAGAATCCGTGCTCTCAGTTGCCACTCTTATGCTGTCTTTCAGTGTACCTACCTTAGTTGGAGAGTTATAACCAATGTAAGCCCTTCTTGGTCATAAAACATTTACTATTCATTTTAACTTTTTATTACTCAAAAAATCGTGGGCAAGTTCTTCTAATAATGTCAAACGAGGAAATTCTGGCCCCCCTCCTGCTGATGATAACTAGAAAAACTGGACCAAATGTTAAAAACATGTCTGAAAGTCTCAGAAAGCTAACAAGATAGTGAAGCCTTACTGGGCCAGGAGGTAGAAGACGACAGGGGCCCAGGGAGGTGAGCACTGCAAAGCTGCACAGCTGAGAGTGGAGTGTTGCTCTTCATGCTGAGTGACAGGAGTTGGAATTCAGGGCTTAGCCGGGGCAAGACCATGCCTGGTGAAAGCATCCTTTGTTTGAGTTGAGACCCTAAAGGGCTGCACTGTAGACATAGGGGTGAGCTGTGGTCATGCAAGCTTATACAATAATTGCAAAACAGCCTGGACTTGATAGCAGTCTTTGACATGAAATTGATGTGACCCTAAACTGCCAGTGCTCCCAAGCATCTGTCAGAAATAAAAAGCGGTGGCTCACACCTCTAATCTCAGCACTTTGGGAGATTACAGAGGGCAAAACACTTGAGGTCAGGAGTTTGAGACCAGCCTAGCCACCATGGTAAAACCCTGTCTCTACTAAAAATACAAAAATTAGCTGGGCATGGTGGCAGGTGCCTCTGATTTCAGCTGTTTGAGAGGCTGAGGCAGGAGAATCATTTGAACCTGGGAGGGAGGAATCGAAGATCTCACCACTGCACTCCAGCCTGGGCAACTGAGCGAGACTCTGTCTCAAAAAAAAAAAAATGGCCAGCCATGGTGACACATGCCTGTAATCCCAGCACTTTGGGAGGCTGAAGCAGGTGGATAAGTTGAGGTCAGGAGTTTGAGAGCAGCCTGACTAACATGGTGAAAACCCATCTCTACTAAAAATACAAAAATTAGCCCGGTGTGGTGGCACATACCTGTAATTCCAGCTACTCGGGAGGCTGAGGCATGAGAATCGCTTGTACCTGGGAGGTGGAGGTTGCAGTGAGCTGAGATCAAGCCACTGTACTCCAGCCTGAGTGACACAGAGAGACTCTGTCTTAACAACGACAACAAAAAAAACAAAAACAAAAAGGTAAATCTTCTTTAGGGAAAGATTATATCATCCTAGTCCTCAAACGATTTCTACAAACAACTTGACAAATGCAATGCTTGGTGCACAATAAAAAATACCCAGTTACCTGTGGATAAAAGCTAACACCCCAAATTGCAAAAAATAATAATAATTTAGAAGGAAGCACGGAGGGTCAAAAGGGTGGAAAATATACAGAAGAGGTAAGAGTCATTGTGGTATACAGCTTCCAATGTGTGCCCTCGTAAAGCTCCTCCCAGCATTCATACCCTCGAGTAGTCCCTCCCCATGTTGTACCAGGGTTGGTGCATGTGACTGGTAAACACTGTAGTCTTCTGAAGAAGAGATGGGGTGTCACTTCTGAGACTGGGTCATAAAAGACACTACAGCCTCTGCCTTGGATGTACTCTCCCCTTCACAGCACTCACTGTATTTTCATGGTTTGCCAGATAAACAGAACAAATAAAATACAATAAACAGTCACATAGAGGTTTATTATGAGGCATTGGCTCACACAATTATGGAAGCTGAAAAGTTCCACAGTCTGCCGTCTGCAAGCTGGAGGCTCGGGAAAACCAGTGGTGTAGTTCCTGTCCAAACCCAAAGGCACAGGGACTGGGGTGACACGGTGTCAGACCCAGTCTGAGTCTGAAGGCCCAAAAGTTAGTGGCCCCAGTGTCCAAGGATAGGAGAAAAAGGACGTCCCAGCCTAGTAAAAGGGCAGAGGTACTTTCCCTCTGCCTTTGCGTTCTCTTCAGGCCCTCTGTGGGTTGGATGGTACCCAGCAGCATCTGTGAGGGCAAGTCTCCACTCCATCTCTGATTCAAGTGCTGAGTGCTTCCAGAAACACTCTCGCAGGCACACCCAGAAATCATGTTTCACCAACTATCTGGGTATCCGTGAGCCCAGTCAAGTAGGCGGATAAAATTAACCAGCTGCCTATAATCCCAGCACTTTGGGAGGCCGAGGCGGGCGGATCACTTGAGGCCGGGAGTTCAAGACCAGCCTGACCAACACGAAGAAACCTGTCTCTACTAAAAATACAAAAAATTAGTCAGGCGTGTTGGCGCATGCCTGTAATTCTAGCTACTCAGGAGGCTGAGGTAGGAGAATTGCTTGAACCTGGGAGACGGAGGTTGCAGTGAACTGAGATTGCACCATTAGACTCTAGCCTGGGCAACAAGAGTGAAATGCTGACCAGGCGAGGTGGCTCATGCCTGTAATCCCAGCACTTTGGGAGGCCGAGGCAGGCAGATCACGAGGTCAGGAGATCGAGACCATCCTGGTCAACATGGTGAAACTCCATCTCAAGTAAAAATTCAAAAAAAATAGCTGGTCATGGTAGCGCACCCCTGTAGTCCCAGTTACTCGGGAGGCTGAGGCAGGAGAATTGCTTTAACCCAGGAGGCAGAGATTGCAGTGAGCCAAGATCAGGCCACTGCACTACAGCTTGGGTGACAGTGCGAGACTCCACCTCAAAAAAAAAAAAAAAGAAAAGAAAAAAAATTAACCAGCATGTTCTCTCTGAAGGAAGCTAAGTGCCTTGTCATGCAGACAGCTAGGTGGCCTTGCAGAGAGGCCTGTGTGGTGAGGAGCAGTCAGAAAGTACCTGAGACCTGCCAGCCACTTGGAAGCAGCTCCTCCAGCCTTCAAGAGACTTTGGGCCCAACCAACAGGTTAGCAGAACCTCATGAGAGACCCTGGCCAGCACCACCCAACTAAGGTGCTCTGAGATTCCTGATGTGATGCATAGAAACCATGCAATAACAAATTACACCCAAGCTTTGGAGTAATTTGTTATTCATCAACATGACTAATCCACATACGAAGGATACAGCAAGGTTTTATGTGTGTGTAACAGAGGTTCCAAAAGGAAGGGAGACAAGGCAACATTTGAAACCATATGGCTAAAACTGTTCAAAATTTACGAAAGACATCAATTGCAAATGAAGCCCTATTCACCTCAAGCAAGATAAATGAAATCAGCCCCTAGGAACAGTGTACGGAATCTGCTGAAAACCAACACAAGAAAAAGTCTTAAAAGGACCCAGAGGTAAAAGGTGGATTCCCTTCACAAGAGTAACAGTTACTGGTACCAGACCCCATCACAGAAGTAATAGAGGCCAGGAGACAATAGAACGATACGTTGTGATATAAGAGGAAACAACCTACCTAGAATATAGTAACCAGTAAAACTATACTTAAAAAAGAAAGGTGTTGTGTTTTGTTTGTTTGTTTGTTTGTTTGTTTTGAGACAGATACTCACTCTGTCACCCAGGCTGGAGTGCAATATGGCATGATCATGGCTCACTGCAACGACTGCCTCCCGGGTTCAAGCAATTATCCTGCCTCAGCTTCCCCAGAAGCTGGGATTACAGGCGCGGGCCACCACCTGGCTAATTTTTTTGTATTTTAGTAGAGTCAGGGTTTCGCCATGTTGGCCAGGATGGTCTCGATCTCCTGACCTCATGATCTGCCTGTCTTGGCCTCTCAAAGTGCTGGGATTACAGGCGTGAGCCACAGTGCCCAGCCAAGTGATTTTTTTTTTAAAGAGGGATCTGTGAGTTTTGACTGAAAGCTATAATAGTAATGTATTATGAGGCTTAAAACACGAATAAAGGTAAAATACATGACAACAATGGCTTTAAGTCAGGAGAGAGTAAAAGAAGTTAAACTATTTTAAGGTTCATGCCTTGTTCGTGAAAAAAGTACATAGTTAATGATATCCATCGCTAAGTCAAGGATGCATGTTTTAATCACTAGGAACAACCAAAGGAATAGGGGAAAGGAGTATATACCTTTTAAGCTAATAGAGGGGAAAAATAGAAAAGTGAAAAAAATATGACAGAAGAATTGAGAGAGAAAAAGGAACATAGAACATTTGGGCTACCCAGCCCTGAATAAGATGGTAGATTGAGGCCAGGCATGGTGGCTCACACTGTAATCCCAGTACTGTGGGAGGCCCAGGCGGGAGGATGGCTTGAACCTAGGAATCCAAGGCCAGCCTGGACAACATAGTGAAACCCCGTCTCTACAATAAAATTTAAAATTAGCCAGGTATAGTGGTGTGTGCCTGTAGTCCCAGTGATTCTCTGATTCTCCTGCCTTGGCCTCCCAAGTAAGCGGGATTACAGGTGAAGGCCACCACATCTGGCTAATTTTTTTGTATTTTAGTACAGACAAGGTTTTGCCATGTTGGCCAGGATGGTCCCAATCTCCTAACCTCATGATCTGCCCGCCTCGGCCTCCCCATTGCTAGGATTACAGGCATGAGCCACTGCAGTAAGCCATAATCACAGCACTGCACTCCAGCCTGGGCAAGAGAGACTTTATCTTAAGAAAAAAAAAATGTGTTTTTATGCATCACATTTAAATCCAAACATCAGTACTTACGTTAAATATAAATGAACAAAGGCTCCAGCTAAAAGATTAAAATTATCAGAAAGTATACTCAAAAGGTTAAACACAGAATTACCATATGACCTAGCAATTCCATTCCTAGGTGTATAACCAAAAGAACTGAAAACCTACATCCACACAGAAACTTGCACAAGAAAGTTCATAGAAGCTTTACTCATAGCAGCTAAAAGTGGAGACAACTCAAATGTCCATTAACAGGTGAATGGATAAACATGTGGTCTTGCTGTATAATATGTAATGTTATATAGCCTTCTTCCTTGTCTCTCTTTCCCTAAGCAGACACTCCATGTGGTTTGCTTTCTTTCCTTCCTTTCCTTCCTCTCCCTCCTTCCCTCCCTCCTCCCTCCCTCTCTCCCCCACTCACTCTTTCTTTCTGTCTCTCTCTGTCTTTCTTTTCCTTCCCCTTCCCTTTCCTCCTTTGTTGCAGTCTGTCTCTGTCGCCCAGGCTGGAGTGCAGTGATGTGATCTCAGTTCACTGTAACCTCTGCCTCCTGGGTTCAAGTGTTCAAGTGATTCTTGTGTCTTAGCCTCCTGAGTAGCTGGGATTACAGGTGTGTGCCACCACACCTGCCTAATTTCTGTATATTTAGTACATATGGGTGTTCACCATCTTGGCCAGGCTTGTCTCAAACTCCTGGCTTCAAGCGATTCACCTGCCTAGCCTCCCAAAGTGCTAGGATTGCAGGCATGAGTCACATTGCCCAGCCTCCATGTGGTTTTCTGTTTTGCACCCTGTAAAATCCTCTCCATCCTCCAATCTCAGGCAATGGAGCCCAGGTTTGTCTAGCTGTTTGAACAGGGAGGAGAAGAGGGGAGAAAATAGGAGGGAAAAATTTCTCAAAAGTAGCATCCCACTCTTTTCAGCATCTGGAAGCAGATGAACATGGGCACAAACCTGGGTGGCCAGCTGCAAGTTTAGAAAGGCAAAAACCTGACGTCAGGAGTTTGAGATTAGCCCAGCCAACATGGTGAAATCTGTCTCTAGTAAAAATACAAAAAATTGGCTGGGCATGGTGGCTCACACCTGTAATCCCAGCACCTGGGGAGGCCAAGGTGGGCTGATCCCCTGAGGTCAGGAGTTCGAGACCAACACGGTGAAATCCCATCTCTACTAAAAATATAAAAATATAAAATTAGCTGGGCATGGTGGCACCCACCTGTTGTCCCAGCTACTCGAGAGGCTGAGGCAGGAGAATCAGTTGAACCTGGGAGGCAGACGTTGCAGTGAGCCGAGATTGTGCCATTGCACTCCAGCCTGGGCAACAGAGCAAGACTCTGTCTCAAAAAAAAAAAAAAAAAAAAATTAGCCAGGCATGGCGGTGTGCACCTCTAGCTCCAGTTAATCACAGGGCTAAGAGGAGAACTGCTTGAACCCAGGAGGCAGAGGTTACAGTGAGCCAAGATCACACTACTGCACTCCAGCCTGGGCAACAGAGTGAGACTTCATCTCTAACCCCCTCAAAAAAGGTGCAAAAACCTGGAAATGAGTCAAATGAATTTTTTTAAGAGCTAAATAAAATCTAGAACCCTTCCCTGGATGACTAAGTAGCAGTTAAAATAGGTGAAGGTAGGTCTGTGTTTACTGACCTAGGAAAATCTTTAAGACATAATGTTGAGTAAGAAAAGCATGCACTTTGGGAGGCCAAGGCGGGCAGATCACCTGAGGTTGTGAGTTTGAGACCAACCTGACCAACATGGAGAAACCTCAGCTTTACTAAAAAAAATACAAAAAAATTAGCCGGAGGTGGTGGTGCGTGCCTGTAATCCCAGCTTCTTGGGAGGCTGAGGCAGGAGAATCGCTTTAACCCAGGAGACAGAGGTTGCCATGAGCCGAGATCGTGCCATTGCACTCCAGCCTGGGCGACAGGGAGAGACTCCGTCACAAAAAAATAAATAAAAAGCATGTTGGCTGGGCGTGGTGGCTAATGCCTGTAAATCCCAGCACTTTGGGAGGCCGAGGCAGGTGGATCATGAGGTTAGGAGATCGAGACCAGCCTGATCAATGTGGGGAAACCCCGTCTCTACTTAAAATACAAAAATTAGCTGGGTGTGGTGGCAGGCGCCTGTAATCCTAGCTACTCAGGAGGCTGAGGCAGGAGAATTGCTTGAACCTGGGAGGTGGGGGTTGCAGTGAGCTGAGATCACGCCACTGCACTCCAGCCTGGGTGACAGAGTAAGACTTCATCTCAGAAAAGAAAGAAAAAAAGCATGTTACAGAATGATAGATAAAGGATGATACCATTTGGCAAAAAGCAGCACCCAGCCAGTCCTGAGCAAGGAGCCTAGGCCCACGCAGTTGCCTTTGCCAGCACAGAATGCCGGACGGTGCACAGCTGCCTGGCCACAGTGGGCTGGGGCAGGCCGCCAACAGACTGCAGGAGTCTTTACCTGAATATTTTACAAAGAAAAACGATTTGCAGATTACAAGTCTAATAGAAAATATTTCTAAAGGGTAAAAAGCAAAGCAAGCCTCTTATATTGACTGGATGCTTCAAAGGCACCAGGAAGTAGGGAGGCACTGGGTGCTAAGGTTTCATGCTGGGTAAGCTGGAGGAGGAGCCAAATAAGTGATCCACCCTGCCCACTGCACCAGCAGCTCCCTGATGTAACTATAGTACCACTCACAGGCCCTTCATGGTGCGCATTCACGTGGCGGATGTGGGTAGCGGCAGAGGCAGCAGCCTGGAGCAAGACCAGCAGGTGTCCAGACCCTTACCTCATTGGATGTTTGGTGAGCCTGTGGGAGGAGGGTTTCCTCTGACGAGTCTCCCTCTCGGGGCTGTTTTCTAACCCAGGTACGGCGGTGGATTGGTTACTGTCCTCAGTTTGATGCTCTGCTGAACTTCATGACAGGCCGCGAGATGCTGGTCATGTATGCCCGGATCCGGGGCATCCCAGAGCGCCACATCTGTGCTTGTGTGGACCAGATTATTGAGGACTTAGTCATGTACATGCATGCTGACAAGCTGGTCAAGACCTACAGGTGAGATCTGAGGCTTCCCCCGGCCCCTCCACCTCCAGTTACAATGTAAGTTCCAGTTTTTCCCAGAGCTGGAGAGCAGGACAAAGCCCCCAGCTCTGGGCATGAGGTCCCTGCCTAGGTGGTTGGGGGCAGCTTCCACTCCTGTAGAAGAGGTCAGTGGCCTGGGCTGCCCCAAGGCACCACTTCCTCTTGGTCCTGGGCTTGAGTGGATTATGAAGCTGCCCCAGTCCGAAGGCAGTTTACATGGCTGACGACAGGCAAATGGTGCCACAGGTGTTACTGTCCTGATAAGATGAGGACAGACCTTTCTTCCTGCCACTTCATGAAGGGCTTTCTGTTTTCGGTAAGTTTGCGTTTTAAGCCCACAGTTACCTCATACCTCTGTGTCTAGGGTACCTGAACCGCTGATGTTCTGCTGAAGAGCCTGGGGTATTCCTCAGGCTTCTGTTGTCAGTGATAGAAGCCCAACTCCAATTAACTATTAAAGCAAGGCCCCCAGACCGAAGGGGTCCAAGGACTCTCTTCGCGTTGTGTGCAGCGTCCCTAGAGGCACATGGCGGTACTGCACACCCAGGATTGGGAAGTAGAGGTGCCCACACCGTGGGCAAAGTGGGCCCAGGGTCAGATGATGATATCCCTTGGCTCTTCCCTCTTTGTTGGCTTCTGTTTCAAGCAGGTTTTTATGTTTCCCTGTATCTTCTGAAGATCAAATGAGTTCATATTTGCACAGTTTAGAACAGTGTGTTGCACATAGTAAATGCTGTATGTTTTAAGTTAGCTAAGATGGGCCAATGCCCTTCTTCTCAGATGGAGAAGCACTTGCCCTCAACATTTCCAGACCCTCAAAGAAGACTCGCCAACCATGTTCTCACCCTGGACTCATCCCTGTGTCCAGGGGAAGGGGTTATTCCCTGAGTGGATGGCCCCAGCCATGGTTCAGCCCTGGGTGAAAGCAGTGGGCTGCACTGCTGAAAGCCCCATGAGGGGTGTGGGAACACTTCCTGAACAGAGAAGGAAAGGGGGTGAGTGTTGAACCAGCAGTGCTCACTGCTGGAGTCTGACCATTCTCATCACCTAACCTTCTCCCCTCTACCCTCAGTGGTGGTAACAAGCGCAAGCTGAGCACTGGCATCGCCCTGATTGGACAGCCTGCTGTCATCTTCCTGGACGAGCCATCCACTGGCATGGACCCCGTGGCCCGACGCCTGCTCTGGAATGCGGTGGCACGAGCCCGCGAGTCCGGCAAGGCCATCGTCATCACCTCCCACAGGTAGAGCCTGGCTCTGCGGGTCACTGGAAGTTTCAAAACCAGGTGGGCTGGGAAGGAGCCAGGTGGCCAAGAGATCCATCAGCAGCTGGTGCAGAGTCTGTGAGGAGATTCCCTAGGCTCTCCACATGAGCCGCACTCTGAGCATGGGTATCAGGAATGGCCTGATCAGGGTACCAACCCCCCTTCCTGTCTGCACGAGCCTTTGGCACTCCCAGCCCTGTCTCAGGCCCCGCCCTCTCCCCAGCATGGAGGAGTGTGAGGCCCTGTGCACCCGGCTGGCCATCATGGTGCAGGGGCAGTTCAAGTGCCTGGGCAGCCCCCAGCACCTCAAAAGCAAGTTTGGCAGCGGCTACTCCCTGCGGGCCAAGATCCGGAGCGAAGGGCAGCAGGAGGCGCTGGAGGAGTTCAAGGCCTTCGTGGACCTGACCTTTCCAGGTGTGTCCCAGCCCTGGCAGCCCCACACTGGGTGGGCCCTGGGACCCTGTCTAGGCCTCTCCCATCCGCCGTGAGACGTGTCTGTGCCTCACCCCTGCCATGTCCCATCTCCTCGATCCTTGGGACAAGAATCACAGTGCCGAGCACCCAGGCACCCTCCCTGATCCTCCAGCCCAGCCCTCACAGCCACACCATCTCTCCTTGCAGGCAGCGTCCTGGAAGATGAGCACCAAGGCATGGTCCATTACCACCTGATGGGCCAAAACCTCAGCTGGGCAAAGGTGAGTGCATATCTTTGACATGACCCACTTTCTGGGGTAACTCTGTCACCCTCTCTCACCCTTTCTCTCCTCCCCATCGCCCTGAAGTCATGTTCAGTGCTGCCGCTGTCCTGCCATCTCCATGGCAATGTTCACGTGATTTCGTAGAACAGAAGGTGTTTCAGCTGGAAGGGACTTTGGAGATCAGGTCCTCCTGTCCCCTCATTTGACAGAGAGGAGAGCAGGCCCAGAGAGGAAACACCACATGCCCAGGGACACACAGCAAGCCAGGGACCCTGCCAGGCCTCTGCCCTTCTGGCACCATTCCCACCCAAGAGTGCGGGCAGTGGAGATCCATAGCACTGACTTCTTGGGAAGTGTTCTGGAACAGCCGAGAGAGGGATGGGCCTCTTGGGGGCCTTGTCACAGTCCCAGAGGCCAGCCCTTCCATCCTGTCCTCCCCTGTGTGCGTCTGTGGGACAGCCTGGCCACAGCAGCCTCCTCCCTCCTCTCAGGTGTTTGGCACTCTGGAGCAAGCCAAGAAGAAGTACATGCTGGATGACTACGCAGTCAGTCAGGTCACCCTGGAGGACATTTTCCTGAGCTTTGCCCGCCCTGTGCCCCTGGTCCAAAGTGAAGGCCGACGAGAGCAGGCAGAGCACGAGGGCCCCTCATCGTGCCCGCTGCCTCCCTCAGAGCCTGTCCTGCTATAATAAAGACATCCCAGTGCCAGGTTGGCCCAGGTGTGCCTGGCCTGCCCTCAGCTTCCAGGGCTACAGAGGCAGCTCTCAGCCCAGCTGGCTCGGCACGGGGCTCTCCCCTCAACTGCAGTGCATGGAGCAGAGTGGGGCCCATTGGGGAACTTGAGAGGCCCCCTGGAGAACCCAGGAGCGTTTCAGTAGAAAGGGATGCCCGAGTCCTACCTGAGTAGCCTGTGGTCTTCCTGAGACCTGGCTGTGGAAGCAGCCTCAAAACATCTTGCATGTCCTTTCCAAGGGTGGTGGCCAGGGGGTGACCACAGTACTAACCATGGCCCGACCAGGTGCCAGCTCTGTGGTCAATCCCCTGCAGGCATCATGTCATTTGATCACACCACCCTCAGGCCCAGCTTCAATGGGCCTGTCCTGGCCATGCCCTTGCTCATGGGCAAGAAGTCTGCAGGGCAGAGGGAAATGCTTACCCAAAGCTTGCGCTCTTCCTTGTCTAGAATCTCCTGCCCAGATCGTTTGTCCATCCAGTGCACTCCCTCCCAGGGCAGGGCAGGCCATGCCAGCCAACGCAGCCTGAGACTCGAGGTGCAGGAAAGCAGCAGCTCTGCAGAACTGCGGGTGGAGTTTGGATGGGTGTGTGGGGGGTTCCACACATGTGCACAGATCCCTTGGAAAGCAGGATAGAGCCAGAAAGAGAGAAGGGTGTCCGCAGGCCAGGGCAGGCCTGGCTCCTGTGGCCACATGCAAGAGTGGAGCTTCGCAGAGACCATGATTCTCAACTCACACCTGGCCTCCAGGTGGTAATGACAAGGTTCATCTGAAGGAAGGAGGAAAGAAATATTGACAAGTTTGCTAGCCTAAGTTAGGATGTTATCGTATTTAGATACTTGGATGTGTGGAGTTTCATCCTCTTCCCTGGCTCCTGCAAAGTTAGGGCTACATGTGGTCCTATATGCACCCATGAAGTGGGCAGCACCCCACCTCCCACATGGCTTGACTGCCCTAGAGGCAGCCAGCAACTTCCCACATCAACAGGCAGGGGAGCCAGGGTTACAATGGGGCAGAGGTTCTCCCAGTGGGGTCCCAGCAGCAGCAGCAGCACCATCGGGAAACTTGTTAGAAATGTAGGCTCTTGGACCCCACTCCAAACCTACTGAATCAGAAATGCTTGGGGCAGTGCCAGCAATCCATGTTGCAACAAGCCCTATAGCAGGTGCTCTGACACAGCTCCAGTGTGAGAACCTCCACTGAGAGCCTCCACTGAGCAGAGGCCCCGTAGGCCCCACACCATCGCACCATCCAGATGCAGATGGATGTGGCCACATGCCTTTGTCGTGGACGTTCTCCTCTCTGAGTCCGTCAGCGGCCTTTCTTTCTCTGTGGAGCTCACTGTCCCTTGCCACAGGCCCCTCAGCTCCCTCTGGGAAGTTCAGGTGCAGGACTCAGGAACATGTGGGGCACCGGCCTTGCCTATGCTTCCCACAGCTCTTGCCCAGAACAATGGCGTGGCACACCCGTGGTCGCCAACCCACCCTCTTCTTAGTGCTTGTTTCAGGTGACTGCTCCCTGTGATGAAGGCCACCTCTGCTCCCACATCCAGCTCTCATTCCTCCCATGACCCTCTCTGCCTCCACTGAAGGCCCATCCTCCTCTTTGAATGTGGGATGTCTCAGGTTCCCAACCTACTTCGTGTTCCCGTACTCTTCCCCCTGCCCCTCACCACCCATGACATTTTCAACTGACACCTCATTTCACCAGGAATTTCCCTGAGCTCCTAACGGTTTGGACTTTTCCAACAAGGCGTCACCTTGGATGTGTGGACTTTCACCCTCTTCTAGAATCCCCTGCCCAGATCGTTTGTCCATCCAGTACGCTCCCTCCCACAGCAGGCCATGCCACCCAACGCACCCTGAGACACAAGGTGGACACACACTGCTCCGGCCTCCAAGTCTGTGGCTTCTCTCCAGGGCTGACCCTTCTAATTTGGACTTGAAAACAAGACTCTTCAAACCCACAGATCCTTACTGATCATTTCTAAAGCCCAGTGGGAAACGGGCTGACACCCTGGAGGAGCCACTCATCACCCCAGTGCAGCCCTGGAGGCTCCGGCTGCCAGCGCAGTGGGTGGAATGGGCCAGGCATGGCTGGAGTCAAGACAACTCCTGCTCCCTGAAAAAGACATTTGCCTCTCAATATAGAAAGAAGAGTGATCAGGACACAAAGCACAGGATGGACTCAAACAACATAGGGAGCAGGGATGCTGTTCTGGGTCCTAGAGGTAGCCGGTGTCACCAGTGTGCTCATGGCTGGCTCTTGATTAATCCCTTCAAGAGGCTAACCCTGAAAGTGAACCTCTGCCCTAGGGGGAGACAGGTAACAGTGACAAAGTAGGAAACAGTAACCTAGGCAGACAAAAATGAGATGATGGGATAAGAAATCTGGGGGCTGAGAACATGGGATATCTGGGGAGCAGGCCCCAAACTCGCTCATCCTGTCCTCTCTTCACCCTCCTTCACCAGCTTCCTGATTCCAGGGCAGGGAATAGTCCCAACTTCCAGGGCCTCTCTGGGGCCACGAACTCTGTGCCCTGTGCTGTGATCACCTGCGTACTCTGTCTCGCTCCAGGCTGGCTGACGCCTGCACGCCAGAGCTCCTGTCTGTGTGCCCAGGACAGGCGCAGTACCTTTAGGGGTTCTGTGGTCACGAGGGCCGTGGGCACTCAGAAGGATGGGAGGGTGCAGACTGAGGGAAGCGTGAGGGAGAGGGGGCAGCCTTGGCCCAGGCCCCCGCCTCCACCAGACCCTCGGGAGGCTGAGTGTCTTCCCTTGACAGCCCGTGCCGTGAAAGGGGTGGAGTGTGGCTGATTCCTGAAGGACAGCTCGGATGGGCTCTGCCGGACACAAGAGTGAGCAGATGTGACACCTCCCTCCGCGAGCAGCTCCCAAGTGGCGCCGAGGAGGCGAGGCAGGGGGCAGCAACCGGTCAAAGTGATGGGGAGGGCTTGCCCCGGTCCTGGGGCACTGAGGCGTCCAGGGTGCGCCACGTTTCGCGGGAAGAAGGGGTCAGCGTTCCGGAGGGTAGGCCAGGGGAGACTTGCAGCGCCGGCTCCCACCCCCTTTCCCTACCACGATCTGGCCCAGCATCCCCGCCCAGAAGCGGCTCGGCCACAAACCCAAGGGTCTCCACCCGAAGCAGGCGGCGGAAAGGAAGACCGTGCAGGCTAGGGGTGAGCGTCGCGGGCCCAGGACCGACCCCGGGACCGGGGCAGGGCACCGCCTAGTCCCAGAAGCGCCACGTCGGGGCTCTCGCAGGCCGGGTCACGGCGGTGACTGCGAGGGACGCCAAGGAGTGCCCTTTCCCCTGGCCGCCGGCACGCGTCTTCGCAGCCTATCTGGCATCGCGGATGCCAGTCGCCCGAGTCAGCGGCGAAGCCTGGACCCACGCGGGCGGGAAACTGCGCCGCCAAACCCTCGCCCGCCGCCCCGGAGCCGCGCTCCTCAGGGACTCACTTCCCCGCTGGGGAGGCGGGGCGGCCACGCGAGCTCCACCAATCAGCGGCCAATGTTCGAATTTGCGTCCTGGTGCGGCCAATGGCGGACGCCCGGAGCAAGCGGGGTGGGCGTGAAATGCGGGGCAGAAGGCGTGAACAAGGCGGGGCATGGGCGGGGCCACCGGCGGCCCCCCCGGGCAGGCCAATGGGAGGGCTGGGCGCGTTTGAAAACTGGGGCGGGCAGCGGGGCGGGGTCTGCGCTTGCGCGAGGGGCCGGCGCGCTCCAGCCGGGACACGGGCGCGCTCTCAGGCGGGCTCTGACTGCAGCTACGCCAGCGCTGCGATGGGGAGCGGCGGCGGTGAGTACCGGGCGATGTCCGCCGGTCTCTGCCCTGCGCCCCTTCTGCCTGCCCTGAGGGGCGGCGGCGGATCCCGCGAGAGGAAAGATTCTGGCGGCCTGAGGAGGGCGGGCTGGAGCCCTTTAACCCGGGGCGGGGGTCGCGTTCGGCGCGAGGAGCCCCAGCGGCCGGGCGCGCGGTTTAAATGCCCGGCGGGCGCCTGAGCCCTTCGGCGTCTTCCCCCGCCGCGACATTTTCCAGCCAGTTCCCGGAGCGGCAGTCGGGTCCCAGGGAGCCAAACACCAGCGCCTCCTGGCCGGGGATGGGTCTGCGGAGCGCGTGGGGCTAGGCGATCCCGCAGTCCGGCCGATCCTGACGGGGCTTCTGTCCGGCGGGGCCGGAGACCCAGCTCCGTGGAAAGCCGCGCTCGCCTCCGCGCGCGTTGAGGCGGAGGAAAGCCGAGCTGCGGTTTCAGTTATTATCACAGCGATTATCACACGTCTCCAAGTGTCTGTCCTGGAGCCGGAGAATGAGGACTGTGTAATGGGGAGGTCTATAGAATCTGAGAATTTGTAGCCCTGGAATACGTTTGGCTTTTGCAGCTGGTTTAACTGCTGACGGGAAGACCCAGGGCAAGAGAGGGGAGCAGGGGGCAATCGCTAGGAGGTCCTGGCGGGGAGGGATTCGGGCCCACAGAGGGGACTGGCGTTTCCTTTCAGGACTGGAAGAAGAATGGATAGAAAGGTAGATTTGTAGATGGGGAGTCAGGATCCTGAGGTTCCTCTCTGAGGGCTTCTGTTATCCTATGTAATAAGCGCTAAGATCATCTGCTTAGAGTGAGGAAGGGGTGGCCGGAGTAGGATTTGGAAAATCGGGCTGTGGGGAGAGGAGAGGGCACACATCTGAGAAGCATGGCTGGGCTGCCTGCCTGGTGGGTGGAGAGCCTGTCTCACCTTTAATGATTGCACCTGTACACGAACCTACAGGTTTAGGTTTGTGTTGGGATCTGAGCAACAACCTTACTGTGTAGCTGTCAACTCCACATTCTGCAGTGGAGGACGCACTGAGACTCAGGGGCCTGGCAGGTCTGCAGAGCTGAGACTTGGACACACACTGCCCCCGGCCTCCAAGTCTGTGGCTTCTCTCCACGGCCGACCCTTCATAATTTCGACTTGAAAACAAGGCTCTTCAAGC